ATTGCAGAGCCATTGGCCATTATTTTTGAAAACTCATGGTGATCAGGGGAGGTACCAGATGATTGTAAAAAGGCTAATGTAGTGCCCATCTTTAAAAAAGGGAAGGAGGATGATCTGGGGAACTACAGGCCAGTCAGCCTCACCTCAGTCCCTGGAAAAATCATGGAGCAGGTCCTCAAGGAATCAATTCTGAAGCACTTAGAGGAGAGGAAAGTGATCAGGAACAGTCGGCATGGATTCACCAAGGGCAAGTCATGCCTAATTGCCTTCTATGAGGAGATAACTGGCTCTGTGGAAGAGGGGAAAGGAGTGGACGTGTTATTCCTTAACTTTAGCAAAGCTTTTGATATGGTCTCCCATAGTATTCTTGCCAGCAAGTTAAAGAAGAATGGGCTGGATGAATGGACTATAAGGTGAATAGAAAGCTGGCTAGATAGTCAGGCTCAATGGGTAGTGATCAATGGCTCCATATCTAGTTGGCAGCCAGTATCAAGCGGAGTGCCCCAAGGGTCAGTCCTGGGGCCAGTTTTGTTCAATGTCTTCTTTAATGATCTGGAGGATGGCGTGGACTGCACCCTCAGCAGTTCTGTAGATGACACTAAACTGGGAGGAGTGGTAGAGACGCTGGAGGGTAGGGATAGGATACAGAGGGACCTAGACAAAGTAGAGGATTGGGCCAAAAAAAATCTGAGGTTCAACAAGGACAAGTGTAGAGTCCTGCACTTAAGACGGAAGAATCCCATGCACTGCTACAGACTAGGGACCAAGTGGCTAGGCAGCAGTTCTGCAGAGAAGGACCTAGGGGTTACAGTGGACAAGAAGCTGGATATGAGTCGACAGTGTGCCCTTGTTGCCAAGAAGGCCAACGGCATGTTGGGCTGTATAAGAAGGGGTATTGCCAGCAGATCGAGGGACATGATCACTCCCCTCTATTTGACGTTGGTGAGGCCTCATCTGGAGTACTGTGTCCAGTTTTGGGCCCCACACTACAAGGAGGATGTGGAAAAATTGGAAAGGGTTCAGTAGAGGGCAACAAAAATAATGAGGGGGCTGGAGCACATGACTTATGAGGAGAGGCTGAGGGAACTGGGATTGTTTAGTCTGCAGAAGAGAAGAATGAGGGGGGATTTGATAGCTGCTTTCAACTACCTGAAAGGGAGTTCCAAAGAGGATGGATCTAGACTGTTCTCAGTGGTACCTGATGACAGAACAAGGAGTAATGGTCTCAAGTTGCAGTGGGGGAGGTTTAGGTTGGATATTAGGAAAAACTTTTTCACTAGGAGGGTGGTGAAGCACTGGAATAAGTTACCTAGGGAGGTGGTGGAATCTCCTTCCTTAGAGGTTTTTAAGGTCAGGCTTGACAAAGCCCTGGCTGGGATGTTTTAGTTGGGGGTTTGGACTAGATGACCTCCTGAGGTTCCTTCCAACCCTGATATTCTATGGCACACCCACCATATATGATCTTTAAGAATAAGGATACTCTAAGGCCGCACCAAAGTTTCTCTCTAAAATCCCTTCTTCATTATACTTTAATCAACCCATTCATCTTCCCATCTCCTTTCCTAAACCTCACAAGAACAAACAAGAGGTGGCATTCCACACCCTGGATGTCAGAAGGTCACTAGCCTTTTATCGAGGACGGACCAAAGTGTTCAGAAAGACTCCTAAATTGTTTCTCTCCATGACGGAACGGTCCAAAGGCAAGCCCGTATCTAAGCAGAGACTTTCCAAATGGATTTCTGGCTGCATCCAGCTTTGCTACATCCAACATGAACTGCAACCTCCCTCATGGATCAGAACACATTCCACAAGATCCATAGCCACATCGGTAGCCTTCTTGAACGACATGCATTTTATGAAGGACGTGCTTATCACGGACATAGGTAAAGCAGCCACTTGGATAGCCTCTCACACGTTCATACAACACTACGGCATTGACCAGGACTCCGCCTCTGACACTCGGCTGGGACACAGTCTTATTGTCCATTCAGACCTAATTCCGAAGCCCCTCCTTTCCCTTGAGTGGCACAGCTCTACGTCACCTAAAGTGGAGCACCCACAGGGACTCCAGTCGAAGAGAGGGTTACTCACCTCGTGCAGTTACAGATTCTTTGAGATGTGAGTCCCTGTGGGTGCTCCCCTACCCACCCTCTTCCCCTCTACTTCAGAGTTCTAATTTAGTCCTCTGCAGTAGAGAAGGGGCAGGTGAGGGTGGCTGCACAGTGCTAGTTAATCGCCGATGCAGGCGCGAGACGGGTTGTGCACATGTGTGGCCCAGCCAGGTACTGCTGTCGAAATTCTCCACTTGCGTGCCCCTGCGCCTCTAATCCCCTAAAGTGGAGCACCAACAGAGACTCACATCTCGAAGAACCTCTGTTACTGTACAAGGTGAGTAACCCTCTCCATGACCGTGCTCTCTCTTCCCCTGAAGTTTGGGGGGTTGTTAGAAATTGTGTCGTGCTTGGTGTACATTTATTAATATTAGTCTCTTAATGAACCTGTGAATTATGCAGTGCTTGCTGTAGGTTTATAGTTGTTTAATTGTACCTATGAATTCTATGATCCTGTTCTGTTACAAGTAATGTGCACTTTAAGTAGCGGTAGGCATTCTATGTGAAGTAAAAAAAAAAAAGAATTTATTTCCAAAATATAAACTTATTGCATACCAAAAACAGTGCAAAACATTAGTGGGCAATTATAAACCAATACAGTGTAAACTAACAGAACAGAAATTTAAAATTGAAATGAGGGGGTAAGAGAGCTGCTGAAATTGAGTTCTTCGTTGACTGCAAAGGGAGAGAGGGGAGTCTGTGACTGGACCTGTAGGCCAACAAGAATCTGCATCAGTTGTATTTGCTGTCTGAGAAGCCCCATTATGTTCTGATGCAGCTCCCTCTTGTCTTCCTGCTGGGACTCCTGGGCCTTTCTTCTGTCTGCTCTTTTCTTCTCTGGGCTCTGTGGTATGTTCACAGTCTGATGCAGCACTGGCTTGTAGTATCTCGCTGAACATGTCATCTCAGCAGGGCTTTGGAGCTGTGCTCCAGCTCCAGGCAAAAACCTGCAGCTCCACTGCTCCGGAGCTGCTCTGCGCTGCAGCTCCGGGCTCCGCTCCAAAGCCCTGCATCTCAGTCTGCATCTTTCTCCTCCTGCTGCTCGTGTTGTGTGTGCATGGAGGGGGGTCTCGCGCACTCCAGGCCTCAACAGCAGCTACAGATAAAACAGGCAGATGTATCGCATTTACAGCCACAATGGAAAGCTGACGATAAGTTTCAGAATTCCCTTCCCTTATTCTGTTTTAAATAAGACATGCTTATTCATCTTTTGTGCCCCACTGCACTGCTCTCCAGCTGCAGCCATTATGAGTATGGCCTGTCAGGGGGAAGAGTGTGTGGGTGGGGGGGGAGGGGGGGAGGGAAATGAGGGAATTGTTCAGTTGCAAACAAAATTTTGGCCCCTATTCCAATGGCATTGAGTACTGGTGCTATTTTCTGCAGGCAGTGGTGTTTTTTAGATATTTCATTCCTGAGGGTAACAGGCACAGAGAACAGACCTGCAACTGGTGTCCTCATGCTGCTTGTGCCTCTTTGCTGCTAGTGTGTTTATTGCAATGGTGCATGCTGAAGTCATCGTAGAGTAGACTCTTAACAGTCCACTTCGAAAATTATGGAATGGCTACGGTTATTATAGGTCTGTTTGCTAACCTTACTCATTTTTATACTAAGTGCTACCTGGAACGGTGCTTAGAACTTTACATAAAATATCTGAATCTCACTACTTTTACTGGCACTTACGTTAAGGTTGGGAAAGTGGTGTTGAGAAAATGGGCAGAGGGATGTCTGGTTTATATAAAAGTGGTATCTTTGTAGAATGAACCTAGTTTGACATTTGGAAGAGATGTAGCTTTTTCTTTCAAAGGTATTCAGCAATGTATCATTTTCTTTATATTACAATAAAAAAGACCCCTTTTTTTTAAGAGCCAAATTACTTATGAATAGTCTAGAGCAGTTGTTCCCAAACTTTTTGACATCATGCCCCCTTTTTACTTTGAGAGACCCTCACGCGCCCCCCCCCCCCTTTTCCCCTTCCCCCCCCCCCCCCCCCCCCCCCCCGATCCTTGTCCCCTGACCGCCCCCTCCCAGGACCCCATCCCCTATCCAATCCCCCCGTCTCCTGACTGCCCTGACCCCTATCCACACCTATCCAACCCCCCACTCCCTGTCTCCTGACCGCCCGCGCTCCCACCCACCCCCCGAACCTCCACCCCATCCAACCACTCAGTCCCCTGACTGCCCCCCGGGACCTCGTGCCCCTTATCCAACTTCCCTTCCCCCCGCTCCCCGCCCTCTTACTAGGCTGCTCAGAGCAGCAGGACTGGCTTATTGGAAAGCCTGGGCTGTGGGCAGGTGCAAGCCGTGCTGCCGGCATGGCTTTGGGGGCAGAGGGACAGGAGGGGAGGGGCCGGGGGCTAGCCTCTTCGGCCGGGAGCTCAAGGGCCGGACAGCCTTGCACCCCCCCTTGGAATTTCTTTGCGCCCCCCAGTTTGGGAACCAGTGGTCTAGAGTAATAAAAGATGTTGGTCCTAATTAACTGCACAGTTTTCCTTGAAAATTTACTGAGTATTTAAAGAGGATGTTATCAGAATAAAAATGTTTTCCTTTCATTTTTAAATAAATGGCTGTACATATGCAGTAAATAGTTCACATTATAATAATCAGAATTTATTTTATTCTACAGCTGTTATTTGCATTTCTTCTATCTGAATAAACAAGAGCAGACTAGTCAGTTTCCCTTGTTTGTAGACAGTTTCTAGTCATTTTCACCATGGAACTAAAATTTATTGAAATATCTCTATTGATGACACACTTAATAAAAAATTTTTTTTAATTTTTGGTTAACTTTGATCTAATAGTCTTTCTAAATATAATGACCACACTGTATTGGGGAAACATTTGCAGCAGTTTATTGTAACACTGGTCTTATTTTTATTTCTGTTGGTGAAGCTGGTATTTAAAGATGCTGCAGTGCTGCAAATGTAACCAGTGGTTTCATGAGGCTTGCGTGCAGTGTCTCCAAAAGCCAATGCTTTTCGGTGACAGGTAAGAAGCTTGAACTAAACTTTGATTTATGGTTGTTTTTATTTAAAATGTGGATTGTTTTAATCCTCTATTTGTATTTAAACATAAATTACTACTAAAATAGTCATAACTCTGAAAGCATTTTAGAATGCAGTTTGTAAAGAAGACAACAAAATAAGTTTATATTTAATTCTCTGGCTATTTAACTGACAGCATTTAAAGTGTTTTTTGTTTTTTTTTATAAAGACAAACCTGAGAGAATGGCTTTTAATATTTTAATTTTATTTTTTGTTTTAGGTTTTATACATTCATTTGCTCAGTTTGCAGTTCTGGACCAGAGTACCTCAAACGTTTACCCTTGAGATGGTAAGTACAACTTAAAAAAGAAATACGTAACCCTCTACCCACTTTTCTCCTGGACATCTCATGTCTCTTTGTAAACCTGAGGATCATCCACTTTATATTTTGACCTTTATGAGTGATACCCACTGCTTCTATTAAAAAAAAGGACAGGTCTCCTTCAAAGCTAGTTATTGTGTGTCCTTAGTCATGTTGTTAATGCATGATATCTAGGGTCCTCTTCCTTGGACAATTCAATATTACAAACCACTGCTGGCTTGGGTATGAGAAACTTAAAAGTCTAAACAGGATCTGTTACCCAAGTATAGAGTACTGCCACTGGGCAAGCCAAATACAGTGTGCACATTAACAAGCATTATGACATACTTTGCAATAGAATTTCCTAGTTGAGAATTAGAAGTGAGTTGTAGTTTGAACCTTGTGAACTTTAGCTCTTCTATACAAATACCAAATAATTTGAATAAGTTGCAACATGAATAAATATTTTATGGAAACTCATTCGATGTTAATTTGCCAATGTTAAATTCTTGTATTTATCTTGCCTCAATTAAACATTCTAAGATCTAAACAAAATTTGGAGCTAAAAGGGCATCATGGCAGTGGGGTGAGGCTTAGGGAGAAAACAGAACATAAGTCAGAAAAGGGGGATATAAATGCAGATTTTATAAGAATATTGTTTTGGAAATTTGAGACTGTTTCTAATCAGGCTTTGTACTCTTTTAGCCATATTGTGCTAATATTTTTGTGCAAAGCTATTTCAAGGACTAATGGTTTGTAAAAAATTAAAGAAATAAAAACTTAATGTTTTTGATTAAATATTTCTGAATTCTAGGGTAGATATAGCACATCTATGCCTTTACAACCTAAGTGTTATTCATAAGAAGAAATACTTTGATTCAGAGCTTGAACTTATGACATACATTAATGAAAACTGGGATAGATTGCACCCTGGTGAGGTAGGTAGTTGAAATATTCTTTTCTTGTTTTTGTTTCTCTTAGCAGTCAATACATTCACAAAACTACTGGGTGAGTGTGGCCTGCAGGAGGTCAGACTAAATTATTATAATGGTCCCTTTTGGCCTTAATCTGTGAAACCAAAATAATGACACATGGTTTTAATAGACTCCTAGAACTATTCAGCATAACTTTTCAGTGTCAGACTTTTTTGAGCTATAAAATTTAGTGTGATCCAGATAACTATTGCATAGTTTGTTGTTCAGATGACCACTTTCATTGTTTATACCCAAACACTGAACTTTGTTTGTTTTTTGTATCTTCCATTTAGAAATATGACAACTGTAAGGCATTTTCCTGCCCACTGACCAGGCAAATTAAGTACCCAAGAGGTTAAATAGATTAGTAAACTGTTAAAAGTAGCTGTCAAAGTAACACTGTGTGTGAAACCCTGAACACAAGCTTATTAGCAGCTTTGTGACAACTAAAGTAGAAAATATCTGTGACTTGATTTTAAAATAGTCCTTAATAGGAAAAGGTTAGGGGAAAATGAAGAGAAACTGAAGTCTGCAAACATTTTCCATATATGCAGGGCCGGCTCCAGGCACCAGCTGAGCAAGCTGGTGCTTGGGGCGGCAGATGGTTGGAGGCAGCATTCTGCCCAATCCTAGGGCGGCACGGCTTTTTTTTTGGTTCTTGTTCTGCTCTGGCCGCCCTGTAGGGGGCGGCGGCGCGGAGAACCAGAGCGCCCTGCAGGGCAGTCCTCTTCCTTCCCTCCCCGCTGACCGGAGTGGAGCCCTCGCGGCAGGCAGCAGAAGGCGGCACAGCGGGAGGGGCCGCGTGGCAGCGCCCCTGCTGTAGCTCTGGCCGCCCCCTTCTCTCTCTGTCTCCCGCCCGCTCCCTCCCCTTCTCCCTCCCTCCCCCAGCCGGTCCCCCTGCACCTGCGCTCCGGCCACACTGCAGGTTTTTGTTTTTTTTTTGGCGCTTGGGGTGGCCAAAAAGCCAGAGCCGGCCCTGCGTATATGACAGAAGCTTTTAATTAAAAACCACCTAAACAAATGCTGTTCTTGTAAGTGTATGTACTTAGTGCTTCAGAATAAAAGTGAATCGTAATATTTTCCTTCTGTATCTCAATTAAAAGAAATTTTAGTGTTCTAAAAAAACATTTTAAGCACTACATTACTGCAGATGCATCTAAACATAACCTACATAGGATCTGTCAATTAGTATTTTGAATCATTGAGGTGCTGAAATAGAATGCTTTTTTGCTTTCTAAGCACCTCAAAAAAAATTGATGTTACTATTAATACTTTTGCCATATTTGGTGCTTTGAAAAATGTTGGCTGACATCTATAAGTTATGGGATAGAAATCTTGAACTATTTTTTTTAAATTAGAAGCATCTTTCTTTAAATTGCAAGCTTTTTTTTGTAAAATTTAGCAAACAGATTTTTCACAGAAGGTCAGTATGTCAGTGCCACCTACTATTATCATTAGACTGTTTTGACTCTTTTTCCAGTGACATGACAAGACAACCTGTTGCTGTACCACTGTGCTGCTTATTTTCAAGCTAGTTCGTTTGCTGGATAATTGCCTGGGTATTAAAGAAATTCAGTTCCCTAAACAAACCTACTCCCCAATAAGTCTGATTAGGAAGAACAAGTGTTAACACATGGGGTTGTAGTTCTGCATGTAATGACAGACATAATTAATAGCTAAACTAGAGTTGACAAAACGCATGCAAAGTAATTTTTTTTTCTTACAAGAGAATCATTTCAGAAGGTTTTGAATTCTTTAAATACAGACAGGGCTGTTCCTAGAGGGGCGTGGGGCCTGGGACAACCTCCCCTCCCCCCCCCCGCCCCCGGCCCCCCCCCCACTCCCCCCCCTCCCCCAAGCCTCTCCCCCCCACCCCTTTCTGGCTTCTGCCCCCTCCCCGAGCAATGCGGGGCGGGTCGCTCGCTACTGCCAGCGCCAGGCCCCCCCGCTAACCTCCCAGGCTGCCCTGGACCCCATTTCCCCCTGAAGCGTGGCGACCCTCAAAGCATGGGGTTGCCCCAGTCCATCCTATGGACGGGACGGCTCTGAATACAGATACTGTATTTAATTGACTTTAACACTTTTTATCCTGATTATGCCCTAATTTGATGTACTTTTGTTTAATAAGTTAATATCTGTGTAGTCCTTTTTGCCTAAGCCAAAGTAAACATGAGACACAAAATTCAGGTTTCTTAGATCTCAAACATCTGTTATTTGACACTATTCCTGAATTCTGGAAAAACACTCAACTATGTTCAAAAACTTTTGGGTGTGGATACTTTTATTTGAGTCTAATTATGACCCATCTTAAATAGCAGTAATTAAACAGAATTATTGTGATAGAGGTATCTGGATTAATTAGAATCTGATGTATAGCATGTTTGCTAATTCTGAAGTTGATTAATCATTTGTAGGAATTCGCATGTTGAAGAGCCTTTTCTATAAATAATAAAGAACAGGTCAATGTGTTCTATGCTTTGCTTTTCTTTTTTCTGAGTCTATTCACAAATATAACTTATTTTAGCAAAAGTAAAAATGTGTTAATCTAAAATGAAATACAGTAGCAGAATAGTAGAGAATGTGGCGAGTCCTCACTTTTCATGGCATTTCAATCAGGGCCGGCTCTAGGCACCAGCAAAACAAGCTGGCCGGCGCCGGAATGCCGCCCCTAAAAATGTGCCCCGCCCGTCCTAGCTCACCTCCGCTGCGCTGCGGCCGCTCGGGGTCTCCCCCTCCCTCCCAGGCTCTCAAACCTGGGAGGGAGAGGGAGACTCCGAGTGGCCGCGGCGCGGGCGCCGCTTCTCCCCCTCCCTCCCTCCTAGGCTTGAGAGCCTGGGGGGAGGAGGCAGGGCTGGGGATTTGGGGAAGCGGCGGAGTTGACGTGGGGCCGGGGGTGGGGTAATTAAAAAATGGGGAGGGGGGGGGCGGCCAAAATTGTTTTTGCTTTGGGCGGCAAAAATCCTAGAGCCGGCCCTGATTTCAATAAGTTTAAAAAACTGAATATTCCAGGAAGTGCCATGACCTTTTAATACATTGCATGACAAGTGGACTTGATATCTGGTTTTAATTTCTGGTTTCTTACTATTAGGCCAGAAATGCTGCAGAAGTAAACCTTCTTTTATTTATAACTATCCTCAGATATAAACAAAACTTGTTGCTAAAACCATTATGGCATAGAGAGAATGAAAACAGGATATAAAGCAGGAAAAATCACTCATATCTGTTAAGTGGCGCTTCCAGCTGGTTAAGCAGCAGCATTTGTAAACTTCCAGAGGAAGCTGTTTCCTTTTCAACCAGAAGGCCAAATTCTGTAATGAACTAGGAGAGTATAGATAGTGTTGTACAGTAGAGGAAAAGTGGAGCGGGGAGGATCTTAAAGGTTTGGGCATAAATATGGTAACCTCCATGCCTCTCTTCCACTAAGGGAGAAAGGAAAAAATAGTGAAAAAATTGTATGCTAGTCAACTCTGTATTTTGATATTGCTGGTAAATCTTGGGTTTTTGCAAAGCAGTGATTTATCAGGAATTTATAGAGTATAAATGTTTCCTAGATCTCTCCTTGCATTGCTGAGGAATCCATGGTGTTTAGAAATAACTTTTTGATTTTCCTTCAGACCAGTGCATTTTTAAATTAATAAGAGGCTAAGTTTCTTGACATTTTATGTAAAATAGGAGGAAGGTGGTAGACTGGAACTAGGGCTCCTAAAACTAACGTTTCAGTGTCATTGTTTTTAGAGTGAAAGAATTGTTATAGAAGTTCTGTATTGATTCTGTAGCTCAGGTCCTGCACAGTTGCAAAATCTGCTGTTGGGTCCAGAATTCCACAGACTCTAAATACATGGGGTGTATATTGTGTGTACATGTACCCAAAAGCTAGCTTGTGTAAAGTCAATTTTTTCCACTAACATCCTTTGGCTAAATTAGTTTGAATGCTTTCCCTACCCCTGTTTTTAGTAATTTATCCCGGATATGGGTTCCGGTAGCACTTTTATCTTACACAGTGGTGGGTCACTTTTGTGGGCTTTTTTAATACTAATAAAAATTAAGTGTTAAATGTGGTACCTTGCCCCTCTGCCACAAGTTTTACAGATGTGGGGAAATGGTAAGGATTTAAAAAATTACCTTTTGCTTTTCTCCTTGATTTCTTTTCCTATTCCCTTTTTTTATTCATTCCTCACTTTTTTTGTATTCTTTAGCGGTATGAGTTTGTAATTTGTTGCAAGTTGTAAATAATCAGTCAGCCTTCAATTACATGATATTTGTCCTGATCATGAATTGTGGTAAATTATGGGCCCTGACTATATAGTCAAAGGTCCACATACTCCACAGCAAGCTGGATGTAACTTCTGGGGAACCAGAATAGAACGTGTGTGTAAGTTCTTTGATAGCTTCCTTGAAATTTAAAAAAAGTTTATATTATGTTAAATATGAAAATGAGCAGTAGTAGTCAATACTATAGAGCCTGTTCCTTATTTAAATAGTGAGTTAAATTTATTTTATGTTGTCCCCATATCTTCAGTTCTTAGGGTTAAGTAGGTTTTTGTATTGGCCACTCATGAATGCATTCTATAAGCTTTAAGGGGGAAAGAAGCAGATTTCAGTAGCTGGGAAGAAACCATTTGGGACTTGTGGCATCATAAGAGGACATTTAGGATTGTGGGGTAAACACTTTGAGCCTAATTCTGATTTACACTAAACCCTATTTACACATTTCTGATAATGAAAGGAAGTTTTAAAGTGTGTGTGTGGGTAAATATTTTACCTCCACTTTACCTCTGTTACACTTCCTGAGTGGTGTTGAGCAACCTTAGATTAAATAATAATTAGGCCCCTCAGCAGGATATGTCTGCTAAAATGATGAGCAATTAAATAGTTAACAATATTGATATATAAACTGTCTTGTACTTTCAGGGTTAACCCATTCATCTCAGTGGAATATTTAACACCACAGAGTTCTTGTTCCAAGATATCTGCAGGCTCATGAAGACAACACTGCATCAATTTATAGTCTATATTTATATTGTATTTATAAGTTTTGGTTGAGGTTTTCTAAAAAATTGTAAGAGCTACAAGAAACAATTTTCTTTTAAAATGAAAGCTTAGATTCTCTGGCAAGGATGGATTCTGCAGAAAATCGCACAACCTAGACTCATGGAATACATTGGGTACTAAATGTAATAGCCCATGCTTGGGGTAAGGCAACTTTCACCATAAATTATACCTTCAAGACATACTATGATCCCAAACCAGTAGTCTTTAAACAAGCAGAGCTCTGATCTAGGTCATTGGACCTTTATTACTGAAAATTCCAGTAAGTTAAATCACTTCTTAATACTTTACAGCTGGCAGACACACCAAAATCTGAAAGATATGAGCATGTACTGGAAGCATTAAATGATTACAAGACCATGTAAGTTGATGAAGGTTTTATTATACATTTCAAATGCTCTTTTCACATCTTACTTTAATGTAGATTCCCCCACCCCCAACCCCAGTCATCTTAGAAACTTTACCCAGAATAACTATTGGTGGCTGAAGGTGGCATTTTTACTGAACTCTTTCTATGTTGAATATTTTGTGGTGATTGAGATAGCTTTGGAAGTCAGATCACCAGCAAAACTTGATTTAACTTCCATCTTTTCCCCAGTCTTGGCATTACATATTGGGGTGGAGTGGGGAGAACAAAATAGGATACACACAAATAGCATTAGAAAGAGGATTCTAGTTTGCTAACTTTTCAGTTTGTGTACTTTTAAGATACTCTCTGCTTTCTCCAGTGTTTGAATTTTAATTCTTAATCACTTAGGTTTATGTCTGGAAAAGAGATAAAGAAAAAGAAGCATTTGTTTGGCTTGAGAATTCGTGTTCCTCCTATGCCACCAAATGCTGCTTTAAAGGCGGAGAAAGAACCAGAGGGAACATCTCATGAATTCAAAATTAAAGGCAGAAAATCATCCAAACCCATACCTGATGCAAGGTAAAATAAATCAACAGCATAGTGACTTCAGGACTTTGTAATGGAACTGAAATCATGCAAAAATAGCTGTCAAAAGTACCAATATTGCCTTAATGTTGTATCATGCTAAAAGTTTATTCACCCATTTTAGTACAACCCTAGGATTAATGTGTAACTAATTAGTGAGGCAGAGGTAGCACATACCTATTATGTAGATCCCAGCTACTTTATTCTTAACTTCTTAATGACAGTAGAAGATTTTTTTTTCCTCCAGCAGACTAACTTTGCATTAGATTGAAATCAATACAAAATTCAAACTTCCATAAATATTTTAAATGGTCTGTTATCAGAGAGGGTCTCTCCCCAAAGGTTTTAAGTACATATTATGCATTATTAAACATGTATGTAGGTGAATAACTTATTTATGCACTTTGAGTGCAATTGCTTTAAGAATATAGAATGATCTGTACATTTATGCACTGATCTTTTGAGATTGTTATGAAATCAGGATGTTGAGTTTAATCTACTTAACCTTTAGAAAGACCTCTTTGAAAACAGTTTAATTTAGCAGCACCGAGAATAGAAAATAGATACTAGCTAACCAGACCTTGCTGCTCTTTAGTAAACAAAAAACATTGCTTTTCCTGTTACGCAACTGTCTGAACTAAGATTTTAAACAGGAGATGGGATTTCAAGTTGTAAATCAAATTCCTAGATTATCTACCTTTTAAACACAATTGATTTTAACACTATCCAAATTCTACATAAATTGAACATTCTGTATTGTGGTGAAGTATCGACTCACTGGCGCGGCGCCTCCTGCTGGACATCCAGGGAATTGGCTCGCCAGCCTCGAGCGCCCTCTGTCGGCTGGTGTCTTGCCTGTCGCTGGCCCCCCATGTCCCTCCTGGACCCCAGTGCCCCTTTCCCTTGGAGGCTGCCCCCTGGTAGTACCCCCACAATCTCTGGGTCTCCCCATCCAGGGGAACCCCCTATCCCCACCTCGCCTCAGTATGTGGGTATTGCCAGTCACCATCTAGCTCCTGCTCACTGGGGTGGACTGCAGTGTACATGCCATTCATCACTGGCAAAGGGGGGTTTGGACCTGCTGCCTTTGCCTACCCCAGGCTACCCCTCTGTAGCCCCAGTACTTGTTCTGTCCTTTATCAAGGCGTGTAGCCTGGGGGTTCTCCAGGCTGGAGCTCCCCAGCTCCTCTAGCCTTTCCTCAACCCTGCTCCACTCTAGGTACCTTTGTCCACTCCCAGGCAGCCAGGCCTTTCTCCCTCAAGAGCTAGAGGAAGAGTCCTACAGCTTCTGGCTTCCCTGGCTTTATAAGGCCAGCTATGGTCTGATTGGGGTGTGGCCCCAGCTGTGGCTGTTTCCCCAATCAGCCAAGGCTTGCTGCTCGCCCACGTCCCGGTACTCAGAAGCAGCCCTCACGCAGCCTCAGCCCTGTCCCTGGGGCTGACTTCAAGCCCTTCAGGGCCGGAGCGGGTGACCACCCCGCTACAGTATGAATGTTCCAACATTCAAATATGCGCTCTTCCTAAACCATTGAGTTATGGCATATGTCCCTGGAAAGGTTTTAGGTTTTGTCTGTTATCTTTATGTTGCCATATTACACTGCAGGCAAAGATCTGCAACTTTTTATCAATTTGGCAAATTTTAATTTACAAGGATAACCTCATTTAGCATAACTGACCTGAAGTAAATGTCTAAACTTTTATTTATTTTACACTGATTAAATCTTTTCCTTGGACAAGTCACTCCAATATTTTTAAAACAAAATGTCATCTTTCTTCTAGGGAAATAAGTAATGGCATTGAAAAACAGGGGAAGAAAAAATCAGTAGGTCGTCCACCTGGCCCATATACAAGAAAAATGATTCAAAAAATTTCAGAGCCGCCATCTTTGGTATGCGTTCAAATAATTCTCTTTCTATACTTCATAATATCATTTCTTAGGATATGACCATTAAGTTTTAAGTTGTGGTTTTTGAAAAATTGATAGTTTTCAATGGAAACGATCTGAATTTTTTCCCCTACTTCTCAGGATAAGGAACCAGTCCCAGTGCTAGAGAACCCGGCCTTGGATTTACCCTGCTCTGTTGGGTAAATGAAAAAACTAAACCATTCTAATAGCGTCTCATTTTTGCTTGTCAAATGTCAGATTAATTGATTAATGTTAGATTACTTTCATTACATGGCAACTGTGTTCTTATGTCTCAGGAGATCTGATGGAACTGCTCATTCATCCAATACCTCAGATGTGGAATCCACAGGTGCTGCCAGTACAAAAGAAACTACCTCATCTAGCATTTCCAGGCATTATAGGTAAATAGTGAATTATCCATTAAAAGGAAACATGCAGAAACCTCTCTTAATCTTTGATTTTTCTCTAGGTTAATTTTCTGAAGGAGGAAAAAGAAAATGGTGCAACAATACTTTATCATTAATTGACAAAGCAGCACTAATGTTGCAGGCATCCTACAGAGCTTGCACTTGCTGAATATTGAATTTTCTCTTTTTAAACAAAAGCTATTTTAAGGAGAAATTAGCCCAATTTCTCTTTGATTACTAGCTACTGTTTAATGTTGAGATACAGTCTGCACTTGAACCGTTTACAACAAAAGGAACAACTGTATGGCCATTTCTTCAAATTAGACTTCTAATAAATGTCAATTGATACAAAACTCAGTTTGGTAGGACTAACTTGCACCCCAAATTCATTTCACTTTAACAGCCTTTGTTTTAATAATTTCTATTAATGTTAAAGAAAATTTAAGTACCCAACTTATATAAAATTATCAAGTACAGTGTATTTTCCACTGGGATTGAATCATCTTGACACACAGATTTAATAAGTTAATCAGGTACTTAAGAAAAACGTGGCCTTCTGGATGTTCCACAAATCTGTTGGACAGTTTTCTGCCTCATATTTAATATTCCTAAAGAATCTCTGTCAAATTGAGAAACAGTTTATAAGGGTCTTGATTCATGTCTTGCAAGCTTTGTCCCCATTTTGTAATTTCGAATACATTTGATATGACTTGTCTTTTTTTTCCAGTCTAAAGCTGGCAAGTGTCTTCATCTGTGGAATGACCAGGTTTTTACACTTCTGCAGTTTATTTTTAATGTTCAAAACACACTGAATGAAATGTGTTTTTTTTTTTTTTTTTTTTTTTTTTAACAAACAAGTCACTTCATTTAAACAGTGTCTTGTGTGCACCAGTTTAGGGTCATAGCTTTATTATTTTTAACTTACCAAGTCCATATTATGTCTTAGCGCACCAGCCATTCCAGTGTGCAAAAATGTAGGTGTAAATATGCCTTTTTCAAAGGCTTAAATCTCTCACCCCTATAATATGATACTTAAACAATGCTACATCCTGTTCTTCTTCTCTAGTCATCAGTACATCTAGTCTGTGAATTTTGCGCATAGACCTTTTTTCCCCCCTGTGTGTAAAATGTCCACGAGGAGTCAGAAATATAACTCTATTGAGATTAACTACTGATAGAGGAGACCATACAAAGTTTTTGTTTGTTTTTCTTTTTTTGAAAAAAGAACTGAGGTGCACTCGATTTAGAAAATACGACGATATTTTCTGTAACTGAGGGCTTGTCTAAATGAGAGAGTAGTACCTGGTTTAGTTTACGGTGTGAATTTAAACAGATTAAGTGAAACTGGTGCAAATACCTGTGGCACCTTTATCCATTTAAAAGGGCAATTAGGAACAGATTTAAGATAAGTCAAAAGAAAAGTCACTCTTAAATAGGGTGACTAGACAGCAAGTGTGAAAAATCAGGACAGGGGGTGGGGGGTAATAGGAGCCTATATAAGAAAAAGACCCAAAAATCAGGACTGTCCCTATAAAATTGGGACATCTAGTCACCATACCCTTAAACCAAAATAAGGTGCCCATACATGGGCTTGCACCTGTTTAATTGAAGTTGGTTTTTAAACCAATTTAATTAAACTAGTGTAACTTTCTCATATAGACAAGCCCTTACATTGTAAACTCCCTGAAGCAGCCATTTATCTTCTGTATGTAAAGCACCTATCGCTCTAAATTGATATCAACAAATCATAACTAATGAGTTGTACAGATATTACTAAAATAATAAAGCAGAATAAAACTGTACACAGGAGGCAGACTTTTAAAATAAACAGTATTGCTAGGACTTAATGTTGGTGTCTTTTTTTAAGTAGCTTATCAGACTCCAGAAAAAGGACTCGTACAGGAAGAACTTGGCCTGCTGCAATACCACATTTGAGGAGAAGAGGTCGCTTTCCACGAAAAGCACTCCAGCCTCAGAATTCAGAAATTGTAAAAGATGATGACAGCAAAGAAGATTATCAATATGATGAACTCAATACAGAGATTCTTAACAATTTAGCAGATCAGGAATTGCAGCTGAATCATCTAAAGAACTCAATTACTAGTTATTTTGGTGCAGCAGGTAGAATAGCTTGTGGTGAAAAATACCGTGTTTTGGCTCGTCGGGTAACCCTTGATGGAAAGGTGCAGTATCTTGTGGAGTGGGAAGGAGCAACTGCATCCTGACTGTAGGACTGAACATGTTCACTGCACTGTCATCTGTAGGTACAGTTTATAACCCATGGCTCTGAAGGAGACATGTCTTTACTGTGTTTCTAAAAAAGAACCAATTTAGCCTTAACATGTACTTGTTAACATTACAAATATTGTGATAAAGATTTTTCTTAAAATCAGATCTGATACTTAAATTTTTTAATGTGACCATTGTTAGATTGTTTTAGGTTGGGATATTTTGAGTTACAATTGCTTATAATGTGCATGGTGTTTAAAAAAAAAAAGACTTTTTTTCTAGATAACATTCCATGGATACAGTTTTTTGTGATTAGGGAAAATACCTAGATAGCACAAATCTTTGGAGAAATCTTCGTCTGTTTTCTTACCCAGATGTTTGCAGAAATGTATTTCTATTTCAGTACACTCTAGATTTCATAAAGTGCAGTGTATATAATGCCTACTGTAAAATATTGAAATTTTCTTTCAAGCAAAGTGTAAAAAAATATATTGAGCCTGTAAATTGCTCTTTGACTAGACTTCATTGTCTTTTTAATATATTCTTTCCGTGTGTGTGTGTATAAATACGCACTATATATATACACAAGTGTGTGTGTATATATATGTGTGATTGTGACCTATGCAATACAAATTATGGGATTGGGCAGCTTCTGAGTATATGTCCCATAATTCTTTTATCAGGAATAGTTGCAGTATTTACACAGCAGCATTTCTTCTCAGGCTTTATTGGATGCTGTTGCTTTCTATGTACTAAGGAAAAGTGTCAAATCAGTGCAGTGTCTCCTGGCAATGGGTGCAGTCATTGATGTTCATATGCTCTTGCTAATACAGTCAATTATTTTCCTTGTAAATCAGCCGTTCAAAACATAAAGCAGGATTTGAAAATGTTGAACATGAACTCTATTAGAAGTAACACTTTAAAGTTTTTGTGGCACATTGATTGTAAATTTTGTCTCCCAGTTATAAAAGTAAGTCAACAGGAGCCACACACAAGATTCCTATAATGTCTGTAGTAATTGTTAGTCATGTTTGATAAATGTAGAATGAACAAAGTATTTTATTGCACAGGGTCAACAAACAGTATGTTGCCATTTGAAGTAACAGTACTGCTTTTATAACAACTTTACCTCTTTTGTTTTTATAAAATGTACCAAGTTTTAAATTGATAACTTTATTTTACTTGTAAAGAGACAGTTTCACCAGTGTTAGATGTATTTTTCTTTGTCTGCTATTTTGAGGGTTTTTAGCCAAAGAGTAAACAGAAGAATATTGTTATTTTGGTGGTTATTCACTTTACTGTCTTTCTTACACACTTGGAGTTTGCCACCGAAATAATGTTATGTAATATTTGTTAATTACATAGTGGTTTAAATGTACTCTCTGGTTTAGTACTTATTTATTCCATTACTTATTTGACTTTTTTTTAATTTACTGCCTGTCTTGAGCATCTTCAAAAGATGATTTTTCTGTCACCTTATTGCCAAAGGAAGCAGAGAAAACTTTGTTGCCCTGTGCTTGGTTCATTGTTGGCCAGGTAATAAATGAGCTTTACAAAAGTGCTAATTAAGAACTGCCACTTCTGTTTACCTTCACTAAAATGTGTTTTTTTTCTCTCACACACCCTCAGCTATTAATTTAAAGATGCCTTTCCTGTAGCTGTAATATTTTGATAAAAGCAAGTTTGTTAATTTTTTAATTTTTATATCTTGGGGTAATCCAAAATGTAAAGCCTTTGTAACCTTACTCTCACATCTGTATCTGTCTTATTTCACTTTATCCAAATCTTTTAATTCTAACTGAACACCAGCAGTATTCTCAGTAATGCTTCTTTTTGAAGATAAATATTGGAATATACATGGGGGAAGGGAGAGGGAAATAACAATTGTCACACTTACATTGTCCATAGTCTTAACTATTGTGAATGTCTTTGTTTCATTTTATTATGGTGGTTGACACAACTCTGATGTTCAGTTTGTATTTTTGGAGTTGCATTTCTTAGAATTAAAAAAGACCAACATTAAATGTGTGTATTTTTTAATAGAAGTTTTGCTTCTGTATTCACGTGAAATACATACTAGTACTTTGAATTTTTTTCCCTATGTCCTCCCTCAAACTATAGCCATCCCTCTAACTTTTTTGAGCTTGTCGCCCTGCACATACACACAGAAGCAATAGATCCCTGAAAGTGTTCCAGTACACACAGGGAATGTTTTGGTCATAAGAGTTTGCATGGTGGTACTATTTGCAACCTCCTTATGTGAATACAAATATATTTATGGTCATGGATTGTTAAAAGAAAAAGACAAAGATCACTGTTTAACAACAATTTGTGTATCAATCATTGTTTTGATTTACATGGGTCTAAGCATGAACTTTCATACCCACTGATTTTGCAGCTCTTTACCCGGGTGTCTGACTAATACTTTGTACTTATTTATTTATTCATATTACTGTAGTGCCCAGCGATCAGAGCTCCATTGTAGTAGGCTCTGTACAAACATAACAGAGGCCCATCTCTGAGATCTTACAATCTAAGTGTAAGGTGGATAAAACAGACCAGGGGAGCACAAGGACCCAGTGGAAGTATGTCGGTCACTGTGAAAAACAATGGTCATAGCAAAACAGCTGCCTAACCATTGTCAAGTTTTATGTAGGCATCTCAACAGAGAGGAGTTTCAAGGAGATCTGAAAGAGTACTTGGGGGTAACTTTGCAGATATTTAGGGGGAGTTCTTCTCATCCATAGTGGTGGTCAAAAGGGGCTTGTTGGTAAATTTTAAAAATGGGCAATCAAGGCTGGTACCATTTGTGGAATGAAGGCAGGGATTGACATCTTGCTGCCACATTAGAAATGATAGGGCAGAAATAAGTCATAAAGAGCCTTGAAAGTGAAGACATGTAGCTTGTATTTGCAGTGAAGGACAAGGAAGTGGAGGAATGCAAAGAGAAAGTTGATGTGGTTGAAGTAATAAGCTAGGAAAGATTTTTGCAGTAGCATTTTGAATGGAGATAAGTGGTGCAAAATGGGATTTGTCAAGGTTGGAAAGGAAGAGGCTGTAGTAGTCGAGGCACAGATGAGGGCTTGGACGAGAACTAGCTGTGTGCCTAGTGAGGAAAGGTTTGATCTTACAGATGTTATGTAGGATGAAGTGTCAGGCTTTAGACACAGACTAGGTATGTGGAGATGGTAGAATTAAGACAACACCCAATGTAGTAATGTAGTTACACTGACTTAAGCCCTGTTGTAGACAGCACTACGTTGACAGAAGGGCTTCTCCCGTCAATATAGCCACTGCCTCTATGGGAGGTGGAGTACCTATTCTGACAGGAGAAGCTCTCCCATCAGAGTAGGTAGTGTCTTCGCTAAGCACTACAGTGGTGTAGCTGCGCCGCAAGTGTAGACAAGCCCTAAGGGTTTTGTTTGGACAGAAGGAGACAGGTTGGGAGAAAAGAAGGTCTGAGAGTTGTCAGCATAGAGATGATACTTGAACTTGTTCTTTCAAATTAGATCACCCAAAGACTAAGTGTAAAGGAAAAAGGAGAGGGCCAGGGATGGAACTCTTTGGGACCCATTCAGAAAGTTGGAGGTTGAATGAGAAATATCCACCAAACAAAACCCTGAAAGAGCAATTAGAGAGGTAGAAAGAACCAGGAGGGAACAGAATCATGGCAGCAGAGGAAAGACAAGATTTTGAGATGAAGAGAATGGTTGAGAGTATGTGTGACAATTTGGGGAATCTCTGTAGTACAGTTTATTAATTTCGGTTGATATGAAATTGCTGTATAATGGAATCTCGGGGTCTATGAAGTCAGTCCTGTGCTGTCAGGGCTATTACATATTCCCAATACCAGGGACAGTGGAGAGCCATTTAACCTCAGTGACTGTACTCTGAAGATGGGTATGCTAACAAGAATTGCCTAATGTGGGAAACCAAGGTGACCAAGTTTGTCTGCATGACTGCGATGTATGGAGATACCCAAACAGGAGAACAAAAGTCAACTGTTAATGCTGGGTCTTAAAAACCACAGAGCTTCAGGCTGTCTACGTTTAAAATGCTTCGGCAGCATCGCTGCCGCTGTGGAGCTTCAGTGTAGATGCTACGAGGGCTTCTCCTGTCACTGTTAATCCACCTCCCTGAGAGGCAGAAGTGAAGTCATCAGAAGAATTCTTCTGTTGATTTAGCACTGTCTACTCCAGGGATTAGGTTGGTTTAACTACATCCTTTTGGGGGGGGGGGGGGGGGGGGAGGGATTTTTCACACCCCTGAGAGACATGGCTATGCTGATGAAACTTTTCAGTGTAGACCAGTCTTCAGAAGTTATGGGGTAACTCAGAGGGACTCAGACACAGGAACCTTGGACTGGAAAGAGGAAGAGACAGGCATGCTTTTGTAGCAGATGGTCTTGTTTTACTGTTGGACTACCGGAAGAAGAAGGAAGCTGGCTGCACAGAAAAGACAACTCCATGGTTTGGAGGAGAAGTCATGAGCTTTATGAGGGGGAATCCTGGATCACTTTTATCTAAGCCCCAAGAGTGCTGAAGAATGGTGAGGAAACTGAGGCAGGGCATTTTTTATTTTTTCTGGATCCATGTCGTGCTCATGCTAAGTAAAGCGTAATTGGGTTTAGAAACCTTTGAAGCCTGTGTGTGTGTGTGTGTGTGTGTGTGTGTTTAATCTATCATGTGCCCACAAGGCAAGCTTAAGAACACCAGGCTCTCTACTGGGTTGGGGACTCCAACACAGCGGCTGGTGAGTATCCAGCAGCTGGAGCTTTACCCAGGCTGCACATTACATTGGAATTTTGAACTTTGGCCAGGAAGAGGTTGTTAGAGTATAAAGAACTTGATCAGTGGAATGGAAGGAGCAGAAGCCACATTGGAGACCACCTATGATGAAATTGGAAGAGAGGAACTCCAGACATCCATTGTAGACAGCAATTGGAGGTGGAAGAAAAAAGATGGGAGTAGTAGTTAGGGCTAAGTGTGGGGAGGAGGGCGTGCACGTTAAGACAAACTTTCTTGTAGTGTGCGGGGAAGTAGTTGAGGAGAGGGAGATGTTGGGGAGGGAAAAGCTGGGGAACACTGAAGCAGATGCAGAGGCTAGAGGAGGAGACTAAATGTGAAACTTCTGCATCAATAATGGAGACGGTTAGATGGGGCTGGGAGAGGGTTGTTTGTTGTTCTGCTTGAAAAAGCAAGATTCTGTGCAGTGGAAAAAAGTGAATGGGTGGGGAGGATTTGAAAAGGGGAGAGTAGAAGATGGCAAATAATCCATTAGGAGTATGGGTGTGGGAGTCAGTCAAGGTGGAAAAGTAATTTGTCAAGGAAAATTGCAGAGTTTAAGAGACTTGTGGGGGAGGCAATCCATATGGTCATGGAACTTCTGCTTGAGATCCTCCACTGCATGAGAGCAGAAATAGATGCTGGCATGAGCAAGGCTAGGGGTTGGCAGAACAGACCTTGTGATAGGGGAGAGGGATGAATGAGTCAAGGGTGGAGGAGAGTGTAGAATGGAGTATCTACTCCTGGGGCAATTCTATGCCAGTGCATGTGTTCAGAATTCATGTCCCCCGCAGATGTGGGGGGAGGGATAGCTCAGTGGTTTGAGCATTAGCCTGCTAAACCCAGGGTTGTGAGTTCAATCCTCGAGGGGGCCACTTAGGGATCTGGGGCAAAAATCAGTACTTGGTCCAGCTAGTGAAGGCAGGGGCCTGGACTTGATGACCTTTCAGGGTCCCTTCCAGCTCTATGAGATAGGTATATCTCCATAAAAAGATGTCTTTGCTTCCCTGCAGAAAACTTACTTTCTAACAGCAAAGCAAAGGGAAGTTGCAAGAGCAGTCATGCACCACTCCCTAGCAGTGCAGGCACATTGTTTCAGGCACCCGGAACAGCTGGCAGAAAGGTAAATCACTGCAGGGCTGGGGACATGCCAGCCAGTGGCTCCTACCTTCAACTGGGATCAGCTGCTAGACCTGGCTGGGCTGGCGGCAGGAGAGGATGGGACTTCCTCTTCCCTTGCCAAGGAGTGGTTGAGACTGTCAGAGCCACCCCTAAAAACCTCCCCCAGCTGCAGGAAGCTCAGCATCCTCTCCTGCCCCCATCGCTCCTCAGCTGTGGGGGGAGCTGCTTCCCATCCGCCCAACCCCCATGCATCTGGACCTCCCATACCAACACCCCTGACAAGACTCACACCGTACACCCAGAACCTCCCTAGCCCTCCATACCCGAACCCCACCCCACTGAACCTCAACCCCTGCCTCTGGACCCCTGCCCCCAGACCACCCCCCACTGAGCTCCCTGCACTGGTAAGCCCCATCCCCCCTGCACAACCCTCAGACCCCCATGCCAGTGACCCCCAACTAGCTGCACCCAGACACCCACCCCAGCAAGCCCCATCCCCCCCC